TAAAAACAATAGATTTGAAAAATAGTAAATCCATTATTTTCTTATTACCTAATTCATTATTATTTAATATTTATATTATTTAACCGAAATCAAAAGATACTTACTCCCTGTGTACCATTTGAATGCACCATTGTTTCCTCCTTCCGCCCAACCCAAGGCCATGGAAAAAGCCGAGTGCGTTGGGGGTTTGCTCGTCCCACTAGTCCCCAACCCCCCTCACTACCTCCATGCTGTTTTCCCCAGACATTGCCGAAAAAGGGAAAATATATAAGACGCAGGGAAACCGCCTTCATTTCAATCTATTTTCCCCATTTGATTTGAATTAAAATAAGTTACGTGAGCAGAAGGCAGCTGACATTTTCAATTCGGTTGTATCTGCGAGATGCAAACCCACACACTCGCAACGTTCCTCCGGGGGCCGACTGCAGTTGCCCCAGGGAAAGGGGGTTGAGTGGCTGAAGGAGGATGGGGTGCGAGGAACCCAAGGGGGGTCGCTGTGACCTAAATTCATTTAAAAATCGATCGATATTTTCCTCGCTGCATTCTCTTTTACTCTCGCTTCCCACTCTCTCCATATATCTCTGTTTCGCTCTGACCGAAAAAGGGAAAAGTATATAGAGCATACTACAACTATACTATATTTACTATATATATTTATGTGTAGTTGTGTGTTTGTGTGCTCTAGTGCAACTGCATTGCAATTATTGTGAAATTCTACTACAATGGAAATTCTACGATGGTTGCTGCTCTGCTTTCTCCTCTTTTCTCTACTTTCCTCTCGGTTCCGGTCTACGTTTACGTCTACGTCTACAGTTACGTTCTACGTCCGTTTTGTACTATATGCTGTATGTGAGGGCGGCAGGCGGTGGGAGGAGCTGGTTAGGCTCATTGTTTAGGTGGGCGGTGGTAAAAAAAATAGGGCCCGTACAAAACACTTTTTGATGGCCAACAGCAAATTTATTCTCTTCTTATTCTCTGGTGGGTTTTTTGGCTTTGTCTCTCGCTCGCTGATATCGCCGCCTCCTTTCTCCCCTTTCTCCAGAGAGTTTTGAACTGATGCCAAGGAATAATGTGTACTATCTTTGTAATGTTTCTGTGAAAATGTAAAGTTTCCAGAAATGTAAGATATAAAGGTTTAAGCAGGATGCAGTTACGTAATACAAATATGCCGGAAAGCCTTTTGATTTCTCAGGAAAAGGACAGAAAAGTGAGAAATAAATAAGAAATTTATTTATTTCAAGTCTCTTGATTTTTAATACCGATCTAATGCCCTGACAAAGGAAAGTTTTTCAATATTTCAATGATTTCCATTTTGCCTTTTGGCCAAACAGGGAATTTATTCTGCTCTTTCTCTTGGCCACCAAAGTAACAACTTGCTGGGGGATTTCTGTTGTTGTTGCTGAATTTGTTGCAGCGTCGCTGACGTTGGCAAAACTCATTACGATGCCGCATGAGTGACATTTCCACGCTGTCAACATGACACATTTCATAGAAAGATATACACAACACACATGGACATGGACACACACCCACACTTTGCACTTGGAAAAATATATTTCACTATCTTTGAGAGTTAAATTTGAACCGAGAAAACTTTTGTCACCAAACTAAAGGCAGAAATATATTAAAAAAATATTTTATTTCCCAATATATTCGTTTATTGCTGTATTTTATTTGTATTTTTTATTTGAAGATGTAAAACGGCAGTGCTTTTTGTGAGTGTCAGAGTCGCTGGTTGTTTTTTTTCGAGGGGGAGAGTGTTGCCTCTGGAGGAGAAAAGTCTTGCTCGTGGCACATGCAACCGCATTCCTTGACATGCAAGCTACACAGTGGCTTAATGCCACCCCCTCTCGCGAACAACCCCCTCCCTAGGAGGAAGAGGGGCACCAATCCCCCAACCCACAGCTCATCATGTGGAATTACAACGCATTTCTTCACTTTCGCATCGCTAGCTCCTAAGCAGCTTATTATTGTTGTTATTATTGGTGTTCGTACGTCTTTGTTTTTTTTTTCTGCCTTCGCCTCTTAACCTCCTTTGTGCGAAAATTGAATTTCCTTTTAGGTCTCTGCCCCGCCCCCGCCCACTTTTCCAGCAGTCATCCCTTGTGCGTGTCAGAATGCATCGCTACGTCCGTCTAATGGCAACGCATGTCAACATTTGCTGAGCTTTTGTGTTTAAATATTACTAATACGACATGTTGTCGTGTGCCACATGATGAGGGGCTGCCCAGGGAGGAGGAGGGGGTGGAGGTGTGAGGACAAGGCGTGCTGGGACCACCCCCAACCTCACACCCCACACGAACCCTCTATTATGGCCCTAATTGAATTATGTTCTGTGAATGTTGGATGATTAAAAAGAATAACAAAAAAGGAAGTCAAGCTCCGCTGGAGTCGAGACCTCAAATACCCAAAGGGAGGTGGGTGAAAAATTATGGGAATTAAATAAGAAAATTATCAGATGTATGTCACATTAGGAAAGGCGAGAGATATATATTTTCAGGGCAAAAAGTTGATATTACATTTGATATAGATAAATTGTTTTCTAAATTAGTTGAAAAATAGTATAATAGAATTTTAAATACTGATTTGCATTTACGCGATATCTAATTATTGGATTAAGAAATACGTTTCATGGGACAAAATGCAGTTGCAGCTGAAAGAGGACTTTAAGCCACTTCTCTTTGTCACAAATCAGGATTTTATCTCGACTTGTATTGGCCACCACCTGCTGGGGAAGCCTTGGATAAGCAGATTGCCGGGACTCACAATGAATTGAAATGGAAAAGTTTAATTGAAACCCATCCAAAAAAATGGGGGCTGCGGGCAGATTAAGTCTGGGCCTGAATCTCCTGGCAGCAGATGCTAACTGAAAAGATAGTTGCAGTAGAAGAAGAAATAAAAAAGACGGCACACAGAGAAGGCAGAGAAAGAAAAGCACCGAAAAAGAAGAAAGGCTTCACAAAAGATGTTGTTTGCTGCAGTTAAATTAAATGAAAAAGTTTACAACTTTTTTAATGAAATCATTTTATGCAGTAGAGGCATAAACAAAAAACCCGCCCCTCCCCCTTCTCCGTTGCAACAATAGCACAAAAAAAGAAGGATGCAAGACAAAAGAAAACAAAAGAGGGAGCGAAAAAAAACTTGATGTGCAACTTGCACACACAGGCTGAAAGAGATCCCCTTGGAAAAGCGAAAGAAAAGTCCAGGAAAATCAAAGGATGTGTGGATGATGCCGGGATAGAGGCGGCCTATGTTTGTTCTGAACTTTGCCAAATGAAATTGTGTCCTTTATTTGATTTACAATGGGTGGCGCGGAGCAGTCTTAAAGCGTTTAACGTGTCGTATGCGTAATCTGACTTGAAGCGAATCGGAATCGAAGAGCATTCAACTGTGACGGGACCGAGGAAGCCCAGAGGCTAATGATGCCTCGTCCTTGGCCAGGATAACAAGGGTCGGGAATTCTCTGTGTGCTTGCTGGCTGCTAATCCAACTGTCATTTTCAGGGACGCGCGAGCAAATGGCTGCGGGAATTATGCCAAAAATAAACCAGAAACGGAAGGTTAACCAGCAAAACACAAACAGACTTAAAGCCGCGCACTCGAGTGGATGGGCGAAGAAACTAATGATTAATTTTTAGGGAATTTAATTTAAATATATCCATTAAATTGTCTTCCAAACTTATTCTTATGGATATTCGTCATTTAAAACTTTAACCGTTTATTCATTTAAAAAAAAAGACAGTGAGGCCATATCTTTTAAATGTTGGCCAAATACCCTGTATTTTGTTCGGGCTTAAAAATGATTAAGCTTTTAACGATCTTAACTATTATATTTTCCGGAGACTTATAATTAGTTCCCAATGCAACCCTTGAGTTTCCCTTGTAATTATACAACTGCATAAAATAATTGACTGCTTTCACATTCATTCATTTCCATTTCTTGGCTTTACATTGTTTGGGTGTCATCATCACAAATAAAAAACACCATCTTTGTAGCCACATTCTGCGTACATTTCATGCAGATCTATCCGTCCATTATGGCCAACATCCCATGCACCAGTTTTTGATGTTATCGCGATGGATGCAGCCATAAAAATATGACGCCATAAAAGCAGCAACTTGTGCTCAGTCCGGTTCAGTCATCAAATGCGCGCCCTGGCTTCACTGGCTTACAGGTTGTTATCGGTTATAAACCGCTTAACTACCGATAGAACGATGAAGCGACCCTGCCGCGAACTGCTGCTGCACTTCATGCCAAATTAAACTGCATTCCGCAGTAGTTGGGGCATAGCGTTTTTATGATTAATGCGAGTATGCCAAGGAGCGGGCGAGTGGTGCGCCTTGGAGCGTAATCCGCCGGATTCAGCCACCAGAAATCACTGTGCCAATAAAAGCGTGAATCAGCCAGGAGGGCAGGTTGCGGGGGAGGGGCGTTGACAGCGCAACAGCTGCAATAAAACATAAAATTCATGATGGCAGAAGAACAAAAAAGAATTTATATAGAACCAACGCGACCGATGGGGGAAACGGAAATGCGTGCATTAAGGGCTAGAGAAAATGGCGTGCTAGAGGAGAAATAAAGGGAAGTTGTGTAAAGCACCGAAATTACGGTTTTTATTGGCGGTAGTAACTCAGGTTGAAACTGTACAAGAGTGGGATTAGTTTTGCATAGTAGTCCTTCAAAATCAATGAGAATTCGTATTTATTAATCTTAAGGGCTAGTACTCAACCCAACAAAAAGTCGTCCAAAACAAAAACTTCATATGAAACAAAATTTTTTGACGTTGTTTTTTTCATATGAAGGTTTTTGTTTTGGACGACATTTTGTTGGGTTGAGTACTAAGCCTTAGTCGCAGAATTTATAAGTTAGAAATATTTTGAGTTACTTTTTTTTTCATATCCTATATCTTTGTCTTTTACCTCAAAATTGTATCATCAAAATTTGTCTTCGACTATGTAGTTTTGTATCCCTAAACCCCTTATAAAACCGTTAACCCCTTGCACCCAATCAAATGGCTGATGTGGAGGAAGAAGAAGCCCCTCCACTGGCTGAGGATGAGCAAAATGAAGGAGCTGAAGAAGACGAGGGAGATCTCGAGGGAGAAGGAGAAGACTCCGAGGAGGATCAAGAAGGTGAAGAAGAATCCGAGGAGGAGGAGAAGGATCTATTTGAGCTCCTCAATGAAAGCGAGGAGGAGGACGAAGAACAGCAGGCAATGTACAAGGAATATCTGGAGGTGGTCAAGGAAATCGATGACCAAAACTCGATTTTACGAGAGCTTAAAGCCAAGTCAACTCGATTGATGTTCAAGAAGTGCAAGACCTTCAGGGACAAACAGGAGTACAGACGATTGAGAGCGTGCCGAGAGCAGGAAGATATTCATTTGAGGGCTCTGGTCAATCGAGCCATTCAACTGCAGAACTTTGGAGCTCCTAGGCGGTACGAGGGCATAGAATTGGAGTTTACTGAAGCCGATCGGTGTTACTTCTACACCGGAATTCAGTCGCCCTTACCAGGTACATATTCCTCTTCTTGTAATGTGTGCTGTTTCTCCGATTCTGATTCAGATTCCGACTCCGGCGATGACCTCTGCTGTACTTAGTCTTCAGCTGTTTGGTTGGGCATAAAGAGGGGGCTTTGTTGTGGTACCGAATAAAGTGTAGATTTGTAAAGATTTGTAAAACCAATTTTATTTGCTAAACACATTTTTAGGGCCGTTTTCTCAATGTCAGGTTACGTTTTATATCGAGTTAAATGGCTAGTTTAATATAATTTAGTTTTTCGATATCACGTTAGGACCCAAACAATTTCTTGTTAAATTGGCAGTCGACACTCTCACATTATAATACAAGAAATTAGGTTTCCATATTATTAAACGGTAAGTTAACTTTAACTTAACCATAGAATAACATTTAAAAATCGGTGCTTAAGTGAATAATCTGTATTATGTTCTGTTTGTAAGTTAATACCATCAATTTTAAGAAGCATTTTTCCAAAACTTTTAGCTAATCCAACATCATTTAACCCCAACTAACTTGAGTGCCGTGTTGGTACTCCAACTAAATGTCATCATTTTGGCATTTCCTCTACGCCACTCTGGGCACCACAAGCTTCATTTCTACGACACTTTGCACTCGAAAAAAGGGGGAAGACACTTCTTGGGGGAGATTGAGGGTTCAGGGAAAATGGCAGGGAAAGCGTGGCAATCCCCCATCAATTTGCTGCTCATCATCCGCACGTCTTCGGCGGGCAGCTCATTGAGCAATTCATTCAATCGGCGAATTCAATAAAGTACAACTAATAAAAAAAATAAAGAAACCAACTCAATGGTAATGGAAATGGCCAAGATGGGAGTGGGTGAATGACAGCCACAGCCAGCAAAGAGAATTACAATTTTCTCGCCATTTGTTTTTCTCTTTTTCCCACTCGGGGCTCCCTCATAATTCGCACCATGGCAGGGAAAAAATAACAGAAAAGGGAAAACTGAAAGAAAATCCCGCGCATTCTGGGTTCCTCTGTGTGCGACTGTCGTCTGTGTGCGCTTGTGTATCCATGAGCTTGCCTCAGAAAATGCGGTGTTAGTGGTCCATCAAATGCTTGTAAACAAAGCCAACAAACGACAATGGGAATGACGAGAACGATGGGCCATTACATGGAGCATGGAACAGGGGAAAAGGGACATGGAACAGAGGGAATTGGTGGGGTGTCGGGGATAGAGAACGCAGGAAAGGTTCGGGAGCGGAGTTTCACAGTAAAAAATTTTGGTATCAAAAGATTCATTTTCCCTTGCCCAATAGAGTTCGATTTAAATTCCTAAAGAATTCGCGTGTTTTTGTTTTATGTGATAAAACATCTCTTGTGCTTTTAGTTAATAAATTTTATGAATTGTTGGATATAGCTGGACATTTCCTATAGAAAGAACCAATTGAATTTTACCGTTGTTAGAGCTAAACTAAAATTGCTGAAGAATTCGCGATGCTTTTTTTTTTTTTATTGAACGTTTTTATGATAAAACATCTGTAAGGACCCTGGAAATGTTCTTTATAAATAGCACATTGAAATTCTGTTATGAATGAATGTTCTTTCTGTGTAAGGAACTCGATGGAAAGGGCAAGATAAGGGGGAGCGCAGGGGTGGGAATTGCGAATGGCGGGCGAAGTGCAGTGCAATGGCAATGAGCGCAAAAACAAAACGAATGTGCCCCCAGACAGAATAAGGGGATCAAAGCAAAACAGGCGAAGACAAATACCCAAAGGGGGGGCGCAAGCGAGACCGCAGCAGAGTGAAACGAAACGAAATGAACTGAATTGAACCAAAACCGAAACTTCTCTGGATGGTTTCTCTGCTCCTGTTTCTGTGTTTTGTTCCTCAACTCTTGACTCTCGATTCTCGCTCCCCGCCGACTCTCCAGCCAAGTGCCACGCCCATTGTGGCGCATCATCCATGGCCAAGTGGTTTTTTGGGGCTCTCTTTTTTCGCTCTACCCCTGATTATGGTATATGGTATGTCTGTTGTGAGTACAACAGCCTGGCCTGGTCAACTTTAGGAAATATAATAACCTTTTTGGCGCGAAAAAGTGGAAAGGTTCACATTTTGAATACCCTCCATTGGAATTGGAATGCATCCACAACAATAACAAACAATCAATCAATATAACAATTCTTTATTGATAAGCATTTGAGGATACTTGGGTTTTAGGTATAAAAATTTTAAATATTATTAAAATTTGTAATAAAAATTTCAATTTCGTGGAACGCTGGTATTGAACTCGGGCACCTAAAGAAACAAGTTTACTTTCCTACTGTCTAGTGATGCACAATTTTTTTTTTTTTTTTTTTTCATGAGCTAATAACGGACAAATAGTTCTATAATAACTTAAGGTTTGAGGCCTTATCAAAGTATCAAAAGCTGTTGCCTAAATCAAATGCAGCCGCGCTCTTAAAAGGGGGAATGTTTTTGGCGCGCAAATTCGCCCATGGAAGAAGAAGCAGTGGCGTCGACTGCGACGCAACGTCACCTTGCGTCCATTCACCCCGTTCATCATTGTTTATGTGTATGTGAGTGTGTGTGTGTTTGGTGCCCAGACACAAAAACAAACATACATAAACGTAGAGAGCAAATTTCATTTAACTGCGCTTCGATTCGATTCCATTCCATTTTCCATTTGGTTCTGTTTCTGTTTTTGGACCTCTGCCTTGGGTCTTCTGTTCTTGGCTCTTCGACCCCCTCCTCCTTCCCGCCTCCCGCGTTATTCTACAACCCTCCTTTTGCAGTCTCCCGCTTGTTGTTGTTTTTGCACTGTCTGCGGCTTGGGGTTTTTTTATGCGCCTGTGCGCCTTCCCACGTTCCCAGTCTCTTCCCGTCTCTGTCCCACCCACCAAGCGCCATCTCTTTCCGCCGCCCGCCAAAACATGTGCGAAAAAAGAACACGAAGAAGCAGAAGAATTCTTCGCGGACTCTGATCTAGCTGAGGCGTAATTATTGTTGTTCTTTTGCGATACATATGGGGAACGATCGGCGGAGCGAGTGAGACTGGGCTAGAGACGTAGAAAGAGACAGCGGAGGAGGGGCCGTAGAATCAGAGTTCGATGCACCACCAGAAGACGAAGCTTCAAAGGAAGGGCGCTGAGGAAGAAGAAGAAGGTGAAGAATCGCGTCTCGTGTTGATGGTTTTATATCTAACAGATGCCACCTTTTTATTGCGATCAGGATGCGGTCACATTGGGTGGGGAATTCCAGGGGAGGAGAATGAGGTTGTTGTGGTGCGCGATCGTCGAATGGGGGAATTCCAGACATTTGCTGGTGGATCGAAGCACAGCGAAGGCATGACTAAGAAGGTTGTTAACCCACCGAGAAAAGAGTCCCTGGCCGTAGAGAGGAGCAGTATATGAGTTAATGAGCGAAATAAACAAGTTCAAAGTTCTTCCTCTGCGTCACCAAAAGTACAGTCGATTCAAAACATCACCCAAATGGAATGTGAGAATTCTGCGGTAGAGATCGTAAATATTTACGTTTACTAAACTTAATGTGGACAGACAAGTTTTAGTAACTGGGCCTCCTCTTGCATGCGTTAAAAAATATAGCTTTATTTATTGCAAAATAACTATTAAAAACAATTAAGTTGAAACCGCAGTTAAACTGGGTTATTATTATTTTATGGACAGGAAATACTAAATTTAGCTGTAGTTGCAATAAAGAATATGGCGGTAAAATCTAATTTACTAAACTGATTCCCAGAAGTCTCTCGTTTAGAGGTAAACATTGTTTGTCACTTTCCTTTCACCGTTATGAGAGCAATTTTCTGTTGGCCTTGTACACGCTGCATGTGAACTTTGACCTTTATGAACTTTTCCTGAAAGCCAAGTATTAACCCCATAAGTGGCACTCCCCTGTTTTAGCCAGAAACGAAACGTATTGCGTATCGTTCGCTATTTGACTGGGTATGTTTCGGTTCCGAGAAAAAGTTTTCTAAATTAATTTCGCATAAAAAAGTGCCAAACAAAGCCAGCAACAAAACAGGCGCCATAAAATTTGATGTGAGATGTGGGCGGTGAGCGGTCGGCGGTGGCGAATGGGGGAGGTCCACAAAGGTCACAGTCATAGTCGTCGTCGCAGAGCCAACAGCAACAGCATCGTCGTCTGAGGGTCAAAGTTCAGAGACGCGTAAATTTTTTGGTGCAGAGGGGAGCTGGAGCAATAATTTCGTGGCTGTCGTCTGGCAGAAAAGTCTACGCTCCCTCTTCTCACTGCGGACCACAAATCACTTGGAGTGGAAGTGGAATACAGTCGTCTGCTGTGTCTACGTTTACGCACCGAAGAAGTGAGGCAGCCATCGGCATTCGTCGTCCCGTTTGACGACAGCTGCAGACGCGGTAACACCGCTGCTCCTCAGCCTCCTCCGCGGTCCCAGGTGCTCTCCACCCATCTCTTTGATCCCCAGGATATCAGCATTCTGGTTGCCTCGAAAATGACTTGAGCTAAGAGCGTACCTGCGTGACACGCGCTTAGATTAACATTTAATCTTGGATTGTGGAATTTATATTATATATTTTACTTGTCTATCTGTCGTTGCTTATCTTAGCATTTTTAGGAAATAAAATACTACCTCTATCATTTATTACTTCATCGAAGCAATCGTTAACCTATCGAAATAATCGATGTTTGAATCGATATAATGTGGTATCGGTATCTATTAATAACTACAGCTTTATCGTTTATCGCTTCCCTTGTGTCATTTTGTAATCCCTAATAAAATATTATTATTAAGATTATTATTAAATGTTTAGCATGAATTTTAATTGTTTATCAATCTGTGTTTCATTTTTTTAAGTAAGAAAATACATCTCGCTTATTGCTTTTTATGTGCCATTAGAGTTGTATCTTTTTGATTAATCGAAGCAATCGATTTTGCCTATCGGTATAATTTATTCTTGAATGTTTGATAATTTCTATCACTCATCGGTCTGTGCAACATCTCTAAGCTCAAGAAGCTTACGGCTCCCCCTATCTCCCTTCCTCAACTTTTCCTATCTTTGGGTCTCTTTTTTTTGTCGTGGTAGTTAAAGCATTTTCGGCTGCGACTTGTCTGCGTCTTTGTCTTCGTCTTCGTCCTCCGCTGCCTTTGTCTACCCGGTGTTCAACTGTCTGTCCTTTGGTCTTTGTTTGTTTTGTCTG